GAGTTCCGTCAGAGAAAAGCTCGCAAATGTCCTGAAGGTTTGTCTCATATCTTTTTGTTAATCATTCGACTACTATAATTTCTGATTTTGTTTAGATATGCAAGACATTGCACACGAATTTGTTGAGATGGCTAAGCTTGTCGATGTGAGCGAGTGTGATAATGAGGGTGTGCAAGTAGTTCAGAGCCCCAAGACTAAGTGCAGTGAGGAGACAAAGTAAGTGCAAGCGATTCAAAAAATTTCCTAGCTTTATGTGGTCATTTGAGGTCGGTAATGAGAGAATTGACAAAAGTTCGCTCAAGAGCTATCCGGCTAGAGTGCACACTGAAATCTCAACGAGCGGAAGGACTTATGAATGGCTTGGATTCATATAGGTGGGTAATAAAAACCTATGTCTGTAGTAAATTTAAGTTGACCATACAATTTCGCAGGCATCTTGTCTCGAAAGAAGATCGACGAGATGACGATGGGAGCTCGCGCCGTGATCGAGTACGCGGCAGTCACACCTGGACTGAAGAAGAGCGAATGATTGCTTTCCATTGTAAGTAACATTTGATTGCTTCTAGTAATTCAAAATATAATTTGTACACTAGTTGTTTTGAATTTTTCTTGAAAGGTAGTGAATCGACAAAATGGACCCCTGTCAAGTTTATTGTTCGGTAGTATACCCCCAAGTACACCGTAGCCCCACCCCACCCTCCATTTCATGCGCTAAGTCCTGTAATGGCGCTCCAAAACTCCACCAGCCCCAGCACTCACTGAGTGGGCGTTAATGGTGGATTTTTGACGCGCGATTTTAGGACTTAGCGCATGATTTGAAAGTTGGAGTTGGAGCTATGGTGTACATGAGCGGTTACTTCCCTACACTACCAGAATTTGACAGGGATCTATTTTGCCGATCCAATGCCTTTAACTTAGTCCATGTGCTTCATTTTGGCTTCCCATAATGAATACAAGGCAAGTATCAGGAAGCTCTCAGCTAAAGGAGTGAAGGAGGTCAATGGAAGCTAACTGATGGCAAAATATTGCCAGTATTGACTGCCTTGCCTGCGTTAAAATGTGTGCACCCATTAAGTCAGGAT